GCGTGGGCGAGGGGAGGCGGGCACCAAGGGCACCCCCGCGCCGTGGAAGAATCAGCGCGTTAGGGCAGGGGGAAGGGGGAAGGCTTCCTGGGAGCAGGTTGCCTCTTAGAGGGCGCAGGCCTTGTCTATGGATGTCAGGCCCGCTCCTTCCTCAGAGACAGCCTCCTTCTAAGAAGCCTTCCCCCTCCCCCTTAACCATTCGCGCGCGCCGCCAATTCTCGGCGCGACAGAGCACTGTTGCGGTGGCGGTTTTCGGCCTGTTGGCGCCCGTCGGCGGGCCCCAGGGCCGTCAAAAATGACTTCGGACAAAGCCGGACCCCAGGAGGTGTCTCTTGGCATCGCCCAGACGCGTGCGTTTTTTTCTCTCGGCGAGGAGCATCGAGGAGCATCCTGGAGCATCGAGCAAAAAATACACGCACGACATCGAAAAAGTGCATGGGGAATGGACGTCCGAGCGATGGCAGGTGTCGAGACCTCTGGAACCCGAGTTAAGAAGAAAATTGGCGCGGGGCGTTGGGTGAGTACCAACCACAGGGGAGGCACAGGGGCTGTACCATCCTTGCTTCCTCTCCCGTTCCAGGCCCCTCCCACTCCCTGGATAAAAAAAATTGAAATCAGCACTCTGCGAGGGCGGCGTGGAACGCGACCATATTGTTGCTGGGGGGAACCCCAAGATCTTTTGAAAGTCCCCAGCAAAAGCCATTCTCAAGCGGCATGAAAAGCAATCGGAAGCTTTGCACGAGGACATCCCGAGCGAAATTGCCACGTTCCGATGGCATGGCGAAGTTTCTGATCGCCCTGGAGGGCGATCGGAGACGGCTTCCCCAAATAGTGATTACACTTGGTGGTTCTTATGCCTCTTCTAGGGAACTGGCCTGATTGTCAGTCTCGCAGCTATTTTGTCGCCGTCGCCGCCACGTCGCCGCCTCGTCGCCGCCCGTCGTCTGGACCTGATTGTCGGTCTGGCGGCTATGCTGTCGCCGTCACCGCCCCGTCGCCGTTTGAATTGCACAACGTAGATTGCACCGCAGATATTGCACCACATAGATTACACCACACAGATTGAACCGCATAGATTGGACCACAGAGATTGCACAAATAGGCCGCATCGCATACCTTCGCATAGATTATCCCTTCTTCAAATAAGTTAGATTCTACCCCCATCACCCCCCCCCCAGGGTTATCCGCCACGCGTTTCGATTGGAAAGTCATATGTGATCCTGACCCTTCGCTCATTTCCTTTATGAATTCATACCATCCCAGGCCAGCCGGTATCGACCCCCCCCCCGCCATCCTTCGCAAAAATAGTATGCGCGCACACTCGCTTAACAAAAATCATAAGTTTTCAAGAATCCCTTGCAAAGGATTGGACGAAGTGCACACGCGCGCGTCGTCGCGCGCGCATGCCGAAATCCGTCAATTACTCCGACGGAAGAACCCCACATAATAATCCTCTGGGCGAATCTGGAAAAAGCCATCACCGTCGTCCTCGTGGTTGGTGAGGCGTCCTGGCTGTCTCTTCTGCGTATATTTCATCTCGCCTTGGCGCGGGCCCCCCTTCCACTCCTTACGTTGTCCCCATCCTCGCCCTCCTGTTTGTTCCGCGCCCCGCCACCTCCTCCCCTTCCTGTTGCATGAGCGCGCATGTCGATGTTCCTCGGCGCCGTCGCCGCCACGGCCAGCACAGGCGCGTTCTCTACTGGTCACGTCGCGCAGCCGTTGGGACAACCCCGCGGGCCAGGCTGTCGGGACAACCCCGCGAGCCGCTGGCGCGCAAGACCAAGCCGTTGGGACAACCCCGCGGGCTTCGAGCGAGGCGCAGCCGCGCTCAGGCGGAAGGCAGCACGAAGCCCAGCTCTGCCGCGAGCTGCTTCGCCTCCGCCCTGGACAAAACCGCTCTCTTGTCGAACTCCAGGAGCGCCTTCCGCAGGGACGCCGGCGGCCCGCACTCCAGGAACTCTCGCGGCGGCGGCCGCAGGATCAGCATGTTCCGCATGCACGTGGCGCGGGAGAACATGACGTAGAGGTGCAGCCACCACTGCTCGTCCGACATGCCCGTGCGGCCAGCGTCCTCGTCTCTCGCGCAGTCGATGGTGACGCCCTTGCGCAGCGTCTGGCCCTGCGACAGCGTGGAGGTCAGGTAGGACGCGTGCGTCAGGGTGAACCCCGAGCGGCGCACGCTGTGCGCCCCCGAGCTCTGCCATGTGAACTCCCTTTCGCTGGGCCTGAACATCAGCAAGCTCCGCGCCCGCGCCTCGATCTCCCGCCTGAGACTTCCTCCCAGTTCACTCACAGACGAGGCTCCCGCCTGAGACTTCCTCCATATTCAGGCTTGAGGAGCCCAAAAGTGACGACAGTTACACGGTTCCGATGACCCGCTCGGATTACCAACGTGATCTGCGGGCCCCATAGGGAGGGAACTCCCGCCTGAGATTTCCTCACAATTCGCTCAGAGACGAGGCTCCCGCCTGAGATTTCCTCCAAATTCAGGTTTGACGAGCCCAAAAGTGACGACAGTTACAAGGTTCCGATGACCCGCTCGGATTACCAACATGATCTGCGGGCCCCATAGGGAGGGGGCTCCCGCCTGAACCTTCCTCAGAATTCACTCACAGACGAGGCTCCCGCCTGAGACTTCCTCCAAACTCAGGCTTGAGGAACCCAAAGTTGACGACAGTTACAGGATCCCGATGACCCGCTCGGATTACCAACATGATCTGCGGGCCCCATAGGGAGGGAGCTCCCGCCTGAGACTTCCCCCCAATTCACTCACAGACGAGGCTCCCGCCTGAGACTTCCTCCATAGTCAGGCTTGAGGAGCCCAAAGTTGACGACAGTTACAGGATCCCGATGACCCGCTCGGATTACCAACATGATCTGCGGGCCCCATAGGGAGGGAGTTCCCGCCTGAGACTTCCTCCCAAGTCACTCACAGACGAGGCTCCCGCCTGAGACTTCCTCCATTTTCAGGCCTGGGGAGCTCAAAAGTGACGACAGTTACAGGATTCCGATGACCCGCTCGGATTACCAACATGATCTGCGGGCCCCATAGGGAGGGGGCTCCCGCCTGAGACTTCCTCACAATTTACTCAACGATGATGAGGATGAGGATGATGAGTGGTGGTGAAGATGAGTGGTGGCGATGATGATGTTTGAATGAGGATGATGCCGATGATGATGATGATGATGATGTTTGTGAGCGTGTGAGAGAGTGCGAGTGATGATGATGATGATGATATGTGAGTGACTAAGCATGTGAGAGAGCATCATCGATGATGCTGATGAGGTTGATGATGAGAGAGTGTGAGTGAGTGTGAGTGTGTGTGTGTGTGTTCCTGTTCCTGCGCGGGGTGTCCAGAGAAAACAAGAACCCCACTTTGGATGTGGGGAAAAACCTGCGGTGTCGGAAGTATGTCAAAATCGAGTGTCCAAAAAAACATATCATAAAACAAAGGTTTCGCAACTCGGATCTTCAACAAAAGTGATCGCGCGCTCTTGCGAATTCTTCAGAATACCATGCGTTTCCCAACATGTTCATAACATCCTATCAAGCGAGCTTCGCGCGCGCGCATGTCGAAATTGTTCGAAAGCACTTGCGCGCGCGCTGAGGTGGCACGACCCGTGTCAGATAATACCGTGCGAGCCTTCGAATTCCTTCCAAAACCGACATCACCGACGCGAAAACGCCGTCATCGTCGCCGGCGTGATCAGCATCGGCGCCGTCACTGGCTGCCCCGTCGTCGCTGTCAGCATCGTCACCAGCATCGCTATTATCATCATCGTGTCTACCGTTGTCGACGTTGCCATGATACCGCGCCCGCCCAAGTCGCCGACTCGCACTGAAGTGCCCGCTGGGGAAGCAATTGGCGGAGCAACTGAAACCACCCCAGTTGCAATTGGGACTGCCCCGGTGGCGCAGAGGCGGCCGGAGGCGGACGGAGCAACTGAAAAGGGTGGGCTGAGCAACTGGGCCAGCAACTGACCCAACTGCCCCACACTGCCCCAACTGTCCCAGATTGCCCTGCCTCAGACTGCCCCGGAGTGCCCCAACTGCCCCAGCTGCCCCAGACTGCCCCAACTGCCCCACACTGCGCCAACTGCCGCAGACTGCCCCAACTGCCGCAGACTGCCCCAACTGCCCCAAACTGCCCCAACTGCTCCAAACTGCCCCAACTGCCCCAGACTGCCCCGGACTGCCCCAACTGGCCCAGACTGCCCCAATTGCCCCAGACTGCCCCAACTGCCCCAACTGCCCCAGACTGCCCCAGACTGTCCCAGACTGCCCCAGACTGCGCCAGACTGCCCCAAGTGCCCTAACTGCCCCAGGCTGCCCCATACTGCCCCAGACTGTCCCAGACTGCCCCAGGCCGCCCCAACTGCCCCAACTGCCATGGGGGCTGGAAGCGGGCGGAGCAACTGAGACGGGTGGGCGGAGTAACTGGGCCAGCATCTGACCCAACTGCCCCAGACTGCCCCAACTGCCCCACATTGCCGCAGACTGCCCCAACTGCCCCAGACTGCCCCAACTGCCCCAGACTGTCCCAGACTGCCCCAGGCCGCCCCAGAGTGCCCCAACTGCCCGACACTGCCCCAACTGCCCCAGACTGCCCCAACTGCCCCAGACTGCCCCGGACTGCCCCAACTGGCCCAGACTGCCCCAATTGCCCCAGACTGCCCCAACTGCCCCAACTGCCCCAGACTGCCCACACTGCCCCAACTGCCCCAGAATGCCCCAACTGCCCCCGACTGCCCCAGACTGCCCCAACTGCCCCAGACTGCCCCAACTGCCCCAGACTGCTCCAACTGCCCCAGACTGCCCCAGCTGCCCCAAACTGCCCTGGGCTCGGGCGCTTGCGAAGGATTATTGATCAAGACCAATGATCGAGGAGATGATGCCAAGCACGCGTGTGGACGTACAGCTCGAGTCAGACAGCTCGGCATGCATTTCATCACAGAGCCGGCCGGGGCTCGGCAAATTAAAGCACATTCATTTGAAGCACATGTTCGCCCAAGGGTTGCTGCGGGAGGGAAGGTTCGTCATCGGCAAGATTTCGACGGCCTTCAACAGCAGTGACCTGGGCACCAAGTACCTGGAGAAGACGGAGTTCGAGAGACACCGCCTGGCGGCGGGGATCAAGCTTCCAGGGCGCGATGATGTTCATGAAGTTCGAGGTGGACACGGAGGAGGCGCTGGAGGTTTGGAAGATATGCGAGGTGGTGCGGTGCGATGCCTTACGGGCGTTCTGATGTTGGTTCAGGGAGCTGAAGGAGAGAATCGGTTCGGAGTTGCGACGGTTGAGTCAACGATGCTTGAGAAGGCCGATTCGGGTTTCGTGGAGGCAGTCTACTACCAGCTCATCGCGACGTTCTGCTTCGCGATGTTCGCCGTGGTCTTCGCCACGAGCTTTTACCTCGGATATGAGATGGGGCAGTACCAGTCGAGGCCCGACGAGAAGAAGGAGACCAAGCAGCTTCCTGCCACGGTGCGTGGGAAGGACTCGGTAGTCAGGCAGAGGCTGACGGTGGCGCGGCCTGCGCCCATGGAGAACTGTTCGGTATGCACGATGATCTACGCGGACGATTTCACGATCAACGCGATTCGAGAGAGGTGCTCTAAGCACCGTCTTGACACGAGCGGGTCGAAGAGTGATATGATTCGGTGCCTCAGGACGGTCGAGCCCTGGTGGCGGTGAGCTCGACGTGGGGACGTTGAGCCGTTTGATGTTGCAATGGCTCCGCGCGGCTGGACTTGCGCGCGGAGTCGATCAAATCAAAATATGCTCACCTCCGAGGGGGTGTGCGTGTATATAACCCCTAATCCAGCTGTGCGGCTATGCTATGTTGTGTGCCATGCCGAAATGGGGTTTGGCCTAGTATGGCTGAGGTGTAGTGTAAGCCCAAAGGGCCTACAGCCTGGTAGCCCTACGGGGCTGGCGGGTGTTATCTGTCACGACTGCGTTGATCGGAGTTTGCTGCGCAAGACGGAAGGGGATGCATATGTGATAAGTTGGTTCAAGGGCCGCTCTGAGAGGAAGGACACGAGACCTCGTTTTTTCCCACGTTTGGGCCATTCGGTCGGAATTGGCAATTTTCTGTCCAACCCAGGGGCGATGCGCTGCAGGGCGCTTTCGTGGCATTCGCTCTCTGTTCCCCCTTCCCTTCAGTGGTGTCTCCCCCTCCTCCGCTCTCCTCTCCGCCCGGCCGCCCCTTCGCTGGTTTCGCGCCTCTCGCATCTTCGCCTGCGCGCTTCGAGTGGCAAGCTCAGGGACTTCACGCTTGTGCTTATGCGCTGCACTGTCGCGCGGGCGGGGGGCGGATTTCGAAGCGGCCGCGTTTGTTCGCAGCCGCCGCCCGCGCGCGCAATCACGTCGCGTCCAAGTGCCCCCCATGCTCCACATGAGCGCGCACATTATTCGCTTACGCCCGTGGCACATACTTGGTCAGAATGACCATGTTTTGAAACACCGTCGCCAGCGCACGGGCCAACGTCATTTCCAAATGTTTTCCATGTTCCACATGAACGCGCACATCCTTTGCCTGCGACGTGGGGCAAACGTATTGTTTCGAAGCAGTAACTGCTTGGCAACACTGCCTCCAGTGCAAGGAACCACGCTACGTTCAGATGTTGTCCCTTTTCCACACCAACGCGAACATCATTCGTCTGCGAGCGCGGTAAGTCCACCATTTCGAAGTGATCGCCGTTGGGCAACCAACGCCGCCAGCGCACGGAACCACGTCATTTTCAATTGACTTCTGCCCCGCATTAGCGGGCACATCGTTCGCCGACGGTTGCGGGAACTTACGGTTTCAAAGCATTTGTGCGTCGCAGCCGCCGCCAGCGCGCTAAATCGCGCCAGCCCCACATGCGTCACATTGGTGCGCAAATCTTTCGCCCACGGCCTCCAGCGCACATAATCATGTCGCACTCTAGTGATCCCATGCTCCACATTAGCGCGTGCATCCTTCGCTGACGACTGTGGCAAATGCATGGTATCAAGTCACTCTTTTGTCGTCGCCGCCGCCAGCGCGCTAAATCGCGCCAGCCTCGAATGTTTCGCACGCGCCACGTTAGCGCGCGCACTCTTCGCCGACGACTGGCAAGCGTGCATGTCCAAAACACTTTTTGTCCTAGCCGCCACCAGCGCGCTAAACCTCGTCAGTCTCAAATGCGTCATATGTCCCGCATTAGCGCGCACATCCTTCGTCGACGATAGTGGTACATTTGTTATGTCAAAACGATCGTGTTTCGCAGCCCCACCGCCCTCGCAAGGAATCATGTCACTCTCAAATGTTTCCCCTGCTCCTTAGTAGCGCACACATATGTCGTCAACGATTGCGGTTTAAACATTGTTTCGGAACGATCGCTGTTTCGCAACATCGCCGCCAGTGCACGGAATCGCGCCACCAAGAAATGTTCCCCATGTCCTACATTATCACGCACATCCGTCGTTCGTTATTTTTCGACGCCATCATGTTTCGCGGCCGCCGCCAGCGCACGGAGTCGTCTCATGATCAAATGTGGATTGCGCCGTTGAAGATCCATGCTATCTTGGAGGGCGCATGGGGCTAATTCGCCCCCATATTGGCGCGCGCACTCTTCGCTTGCGATAGTTGTAAATGTAGTGCTTCAAAGCCGTTGCTCTGTGTTGCGATCACCCCTTGAATTAAAAAGATGTACTCGGCACCCTTCGAATTGGAGAGTGGCGTCGGCGCTCTTACGATGGCGGCGTAGAAAGCAACAGGACTTGGTTCGTTCTGAGGGCATCCCTATCGACATCGCCACTCTCAGGTGGCTCGAACGACACCCCAATCGAAGTCGGCATCCTAATGGAAATAGGAAATCGACATCCCGCTCGAGATCGACATCGGAAATCGGAAATCGACATCCCAATGGCCACGTCCTCGACATCCCAATCGAAATCGGGAATGCTCTGCGAGGGCGTCCCGAGCGAAATGGCCACGTTACGATGACACTGCAACTTTTCTGGTCACTCTGGACGGCGATCAGTTTTTTGTGTGACTAAGTTTGGGCGGAATGCCACGTTCTGGTGCGGGCCCCGCTTGACCGTTTGGCATGTCTAATATTAAACAAGGTGAGAGATGCACTGCGAACTCCCACATTGACCTAAAAATCGGCATTGTCCCAGGGCCCCGCGGCAGAAGGCCAGCCTTGTCTTCTTCGATCCCCGCGGTCAAGACGTTTTTCATCCAGCGGGTTGTAGCACCCTGACGGGTCGATGCGGTTTGAACAGCACAGGGGGCGGAGCAGGGTCGACAGTTCCAGCGATAGTTTGGCAGAGTTTGGTGACGACATCGGATGTCGGGAAAGCGAGGATGGGAGGAGAAAAACATCAACGCCATACACGGAGCATGCGAAAGGAGTCGGTTGCGTGGATAATGGCGAGGAGGTTGTCCATTTAACGGCGCGCGTCCGCGCAGCGCTTCGCTAAAGTGGCCTGGGTAAGCCATCGCGTAGGGTCGCTGCGACCTCGTGCGCAAGGCCCCATGTTCGTCATTCTACTTGGAGGGGAAACACAGGGGCACAGGGTTGCCATTGATTACTTTGGGCGTTCCAGATTGGCTTTCGTGGTTGGCGAATCGAAGGGTTGAACTCTCACCTTTGGCGGAAGCTGGCGGAAGGCCCGCAGAAGCTAGCGGAAGTAAGAATTCGACCACTCCGTCGGCAGAAAGAAAGGCAGACCCCCAGGAGAGATCATAGCCAGCGCAGTCGGGGTGAGTCGAACCGGCAACTTTCGGGGGTCGGAGGTGGTGGAGGCGTAGACCTCCCTTGGGCGCCCACTGAACCCCCAGGGGGGAGGGTGCTGCTGCGCGTCGCTCTCCGTAGTGTTCTGCGCCAGGCGGAGCTGCCGGCCGAGGAGGCGCGCCAGGCCCCGCGGCAGGCAGAGCAGCTGGCCGAGGAGGCGGCGGAGGTCGCGGCGCAGGCGGGGGGGCCCGCCGAGGCGCCAGCCGAGGCGCCAGACGCTGCCAGAGAGGGCGAAGCCTCTGCCAGGGCGAGCTGCGCGGAGGCGCTGGAGGCCCTGGAGGGCGGCGGAGCTTCGGAGGCTCGGGCGGACTGCCTCCGTGCCCTGTCCGCCGTGCCGCGGTCCCCCGCCGAGGAGTGGCGGGGGGGGGGAGCGGGCAGAGAGGTAGAAGAAGGCGCAGGTCCAGAGGCTCTGTTCAGTGAATTTCTCGAGGAGGAGGAGGAGGAGGAGGAGGAGGCGGAGGAGGAGGAGGAGGAAAAGGAAGAGGAGGGAGAAGAGGAGGAGGAGGAGGAGGAGGAGGAAGGAGAAGAGGAGGGAGACGGACGAGGGATGAGGAGGAGGACGAGGAGGAGCTGGGAGGACGAATGAGGGAGGAAGAGCAGCAGCTGAGGGCATGAAAGAGGGAGAAAGGAGGAGGAGAGGTCGAGGCGGATGAGCGGGAGGGGCCGATCGCTGCCAGCACGCAAGCGCCGCCGTCGTGTCATCTCTGCGCAGGAGGTCCCTGGTCAGCCAGAGGCGCTGGCGCAGGACGCCGCAGAGGGCGAAGCCTCTGCCAGGGCGAGCTGCGCGGAGGCGCTGGAGGCCCTGGAGGGCGGCGGAGCTTCGGAGGCTCGGGCGGACTGCCTCCGTGCCCTGTCCGCCATGCCGCTCCACGGTTTGGAGCAGCCCGCCGACGAAGCCTCGGCCAGGGCGAGCTGCGCGGAGGCGCTGGAGGCCCTGGAGGGCGGCGGAGCTTCGGAGGCTCAGGCGGACTGCCTCCGTGCCCTTGCCGCCGTGCCAGAGCCACTGGTCGACGAGGCGACGCAGGCACGTCGGCGGCGGGTGGGGGCGGGGGGGGGCAGAGAGGAAGAGGAGGCAGGGGGGAGGGCATGGAGGACGTGTTGTATACGCACTGGTTGCCCCATTTCTTTCTAGGGGATGCAAGTGGCCTCAACATGCTGTGCAGGGGGGATGCTCATCTGCCGAAGCTGAAACTGTGGATCAACCGCAATATCTTTCGTCTGCTGCTGATGATGATGCTAATGACGATGATGCTGATGGTGATGCTGCTGATGATGATGATGCTGATGACGATGATGATGATGATGATGATGATGATGATGATGACGATGATGATGACGATGATGATGATGATGGTGATGGTGATGGTGATGGTGATGATGATGATGATGATGATGATGATGATGATGATGATGATGATGATGATGATGATGATGATGACGATGATCCTCCTCCTCCTCCTCCTCCTCCTCCTCATCATCCTCCTCCCCCTCCTCGTCGTCCTCCTCCTCCTCCTCCTCCTCCTCCTCCTCCCTACCCACGCCTCCGTCTCACACGGCGTCTCCCTAAGTCCGGGATTGGGTTCGAATTGCTCTGGACACAGACCGACTAGGCCGACCACGAGTGGTGAGCGCTTCGGCGTCCTTCGTCTTCGGGCAGCACATGCAAAGGCAGCTTCTGTCCTTGAGGTTCTCTCGTGGTCTTTGAGAGCGCTCCGCCGCCTGGCGTGGTTTTCAGGTCCGCTCCTCCGCTCAGCCACAGCTGGCCCGCTGGCCCTGAGCACACCCTGCTGGGTGCGCCGCCGCCTCCGAGCGACGAGACCGCGACGTCCCCACCTGCGGCGGACCTCCTACCCCCAGACCTCCTCGCGCCGCGAAAAGATCACGACGGGAGATGTCTGGCCCTTTTCGGCCTCTGGAGGCCCTCGCCGGGCCTCGGGACCATCAAAAAGCGACACAGGAAGAAGAACTGGTCTGGGGGAAGGGGTCCGGACCTCTCGGGGTCGACCTCGTGAGGGGAAAGAGAAAAAAAAAACAAGTCGGGGGTCTGGGCCTCACCCGCGGCGCTCGCACGTTGATGCTGGGGTGCCGATGCATGGCCTACGACCGACGCTGGCGGGACGCCTGAGTGAGTCACGCCCCGTGCGCACTCTGGTTCGCTGGTCCCCGCCTGAACGAACACATCGCCGGCGTACAGCACGCCGGCGCTCTCACAGGCATGCCGTCCAGCGTACCGAGCAGCACAGCACGCCGACCTGCACACTGACTTTCTCACTCGCCCACGCCCCGGCCCGCGAGCTGGGCGGCACATCGACCAGGTGCCTGCCGCCCAGTGCTGCACGGCGGAGCTTCTGGCTCCCAGCGCCGGCGCTGTCCAGACGTCCGCGTCGCTTGCTCCCCACTGGCTGCCCCACTTCGATCGCAGCTCCACCACTAGCTGGACGGCAGCGCCAAAAGGGAGACGGCAGCGCGCAGGCTCTCGGGGGACTTGTCCGCTGGGTGTCGGCGGTGCTGTCGCTCGGCGCCGAAACCCGAAACCCACCCTCGCCGATCCACGATTCAGGCAACTCCAGTGGCGGCGGGGGGGGTAGGCTTCGGAATCCGTCGAACACGTGGCCAAATTCGAATCCCACCCCTTCTTCCCATCGACTCGTGAGAATCGATGGTTGTTGGGGGTAGGGCTAAGTCGGGCCTGTCCCTCTACAATAGGAATATTCAAATATCAGCCAGCGTTGACTCCAAATAGATGAGACGACTCGAATCAAGGAATCAGAGGAACCGAGCAAGCTTGGAATCCGCAGCTCAGCAAGCAAGCAAGCGCGCAAGCAAGCAAGCAAGCGTGCAGGCGAGCAAGCAAGCAAGCAAGCAAGCAAGCAAGCAAGCATACATAAGGGGGGGGTGCCATTGGAAAAAGGGGGGGATAGGCATAGCCATAGCCATAGGAATTAGGGGGGGCATAGGAATTAGGGGGGGCAACGGACCAATTAGTAGAGAATGAGTTAGAACTCCTATAGGGCAGGCCTATTTGGAGAAAATAGTCCGAAAATAGTCTGGGGATGATTTTTGAATTGTTTTTCAATGTTTTCGAATAGTTGTGTTTTGCTATGTTTTATCTTTCGTCCAAAATCTGCCTGTAGGGGGACATGCCCGACATCAGGGCAGGGCTCGGATGTCGCGACCGAATCGTCGCGGGGCTTTGCGGCGCAAGTGGCCCTTCGCGCGGTGCGTCGGCGCCTGTGCCGACCGCTCTGTTCCGAGGGGGCCCCCCAGGGAGGCAGCTCCTCCTCCTCCTCCTCCTCCTCCTCCTCCTCCTCCTCCTCCTCCTCCTCCTCCTCCTCCTCCTTCCCCTCCTGGACTCCTCCTCCTCCTCCTCCCTCCCCCTCTTCCTCCTCCTCCTCCTCCTCCTCCTCCTCCTCCTCCTCCTCCTCCTCCTCCTCCCGCCATGGACGACTCCTCCGCGATTGCCTCCATCCTCCACGCCTTCGGAGCGGCGGGGGCGCGCGAGCCGCTCGTCCTGGCGCGCTGCTTGCGGGCCCCTGCGCCGCCGCTCGCCGCGAGCGGCCTCGCGACGGAGGCGATGCTCACCGCTGACGGTGTTCATCGTTGACGATGCTCGTGGTTCACGACGCTCCTCGCTCCAAGCGTTTTTGGCGCTGCGGCAGGAAAGGGGAGTTTCGAGCCATGTTGCTCCCATCGCGCTTGAGGACCGCGTCCCATAGCCAAGTTCGAGCACCCAGAGAATTATCGAAACAGTGTATGCCCGACACGCTAGCACAGTGTCGAATGAGTATCGCCTCCCAGGGCCCGACACGTGAAAACCCTTTCGGTATTTCCTCGAGGTTCGAAACTCTGTTCTGGTGATGTGAGGCTACAGCAGGTTGGAACATCATAAGGTTCGCGCTGCTGCGGCGCACCTCAACCTCACCGGTCCTACCCCGAGGTGCAGCAGGTCTCTAGCCAACGCCCACCGCCTGACGAGGTCGCACCACCACCTCCCGGCAGCCCAGACGCCGCTTATGAAACGACGATCCACGCGCCGGCCGCCAGTGTGCCACATCAGCACCCACGGAGCCCAACGCAGAGCACCAGACGCGCCCAGCAACGACAGCAGCAGCAGCAGCAGACACCAAACCAGCGCAAGACCATCACTGCCCACCAGCACTGACCACCCCAGACCATCTAGGCCTCCTGGATGGGGTCGGAGTAGATGGGGTCAGATGATCGCGCCGCATCGCCGATGCATCGCCGATGCGGCTCGATGTGGAGCCCGATGTTCTCCGCGCTGGCGTCGCCGATGCATCGCCGACGTCTCCGATGTATCGCCGATGCGTCCCCGATACATCGGCGATGCATTGGCGATGCGGCGCGATCCTTCGACCCCATCTACTCCGACCCCATCTAGGAGGCTTCTAGAGCAGCAGCATCAGCACCACAAGTCTTCACCTCTGCGCACGGCGGCGCGGTGCCAGGCCCCCCGCTCGCGGGCGACGTGGGCTCCCCAGCTGCGTGCGGGGCTGCAGCTGCGGGTGGGGGCGCCCCCGCCTGCCCCGACCGCTCGGCGCCGCGCCTCGGCCACGCCTCGCGTCGACGGCTCGCCTTCGCCGCACGGCACGGCACAGGCACGACTGGAGCTGCTCCCCTCCAACTTCCAGGAGGGGGAAAAAAAAAAGCACAGACACAATTAATCGCCGATCCCCCAGAGAATATGGGAAAAGATGGGAAGCTGGGGGGAAGACGAAACCCCCGAAAACATAGGAAATACCGGGAATCCGGGGATCTGTGTGCGCTATGGGAAAATGTGGAGCTGCTCCCCTCTCAACCTGCGCGCGAGATGCCAGGCCGCATGCCACGGAGGCGGGGCGCCCGCCGTCGCTCGGAGGCTGGCGCGCACCCCCGGGGAAGCTGTGGGCTGGGGGGGAGCCTTGACGGCCAAGGCGGGCAGGGAGATTTTAACATGAGGTCGGGCCTGTCCCTCTGCGGGAGGAATATTCGAAGATAGTTCAAAACAAATTGTCTGGGGACGATGTTTGAGTTTTTGGGGGGCATGTTTGGGTGATTTGTTTGCTATTTTTCTTCCGTCCAAAATCCGCCTGTAGGGGGACATGCCCGACCCAAGTCTTGGGACCCGTGGGCGGTGACCAGGACATCGCGACAGCAATGGCGGACACGGGACCTACTGGCAAAGACTAGTAACTCGCAACACCCAGGGCCAGAGAGACTTTCGACCCGATGGGCAGCCACCAGGAAGTCGCGACAACAATGGCGGACCCAGGACCTGATAAGCGGCAGCCAAGAAATCACGACAGCCAAGGCCAGCGGGACCCCAGAACCCTTCAGGCGGCCAGGACAAAATCACAACAACCAGAGCCAGTGGGAGGTGGGACCCCATGCGCGGCCACCACAAAGTCGACAAGCAGGAGCAGCGGGACTCGGGACCCAATGAGCAGCCACCTGGATATCGCAACAATCAGGGCCAGAAGGGCCCCTGGCCAGATGGGCAGCGACCAGGAAATTGCGACAACAAGGGCCAGCGGGACCCAGGACACAATGGGCGACCATCAGAAAGCCGCAGCACCCAGGGCCAGCGAGACCCAGGGCTTTGAGGGTTGGATAATCAGAACAGCCAGGCCCAGCAGGACTTGGAATCCCAGCGGGCGGCCCCCGCAAAATCGCAACAGTGCGAACCAGCTCCTCCCGACGCAACCCATACCGACGCGACGCAGAGATCCCAAAGTGCAAGCACTGTCTGGGGAAAGATAAGTGTGTCTTCTCTCTGGGTTGGCTCAGACTTGCATGGCGACGTCGACCACCACGGGGTCCCGCTCCAGCCCGGCGTGAAGGAGCAGGCACGGTGCCGCCATTGCGGGACCCTGGCGGAGAGCGCCCGCCACTTCTGGGCCGAATGCAGCCGCCTCCGGGCAGGCCGGCGCCGCATCTCATGGCGCCAACATCGCAGAGCGGATCTCGTTCGGAAAACGGCAGGGTGGGCCTGGGGTGTCCTGGAGAACTTCGCTCTGGATTTCGAGG